AACACTGCAGCCCGTGTCCTCTCCCGCACCAAACTCCATGATCCCATCTCCCCCATTCTCATCCGACTCCACTGGCTCCCTATCCTTCAGAGGATCCAGTTCAAGATGCTGGTCCTCACATACAAAGCCCTCCATGGCCTCACCCCACCCTACCTCTGCGACCTCCTAATCTCCTATCAATCCGCTCGCTCCCTCCGCTCAGCCGGCTCTGGCCTGCTCCACATCCCCCAACCCACCTGCCCCACCATTGGCAGGAGAGCCTTCAGCCATTCTGCCCCCAACCTCTGGAAATCCCTCCCCCAGTCACTCCACCTCACCCCCTCCTTAGCCTCCTTCAAGTCCCGCCTCAAGACCCTCCTCTTCAACCATGCCATCGGCCACCCCCTTTCCCCTCCCTTACCCCAGCTCGGGTCTGAAATTCTGTACTCTGTCCAGCGCCTTGGGACGTCTTCCCGACATGAAAGGCGCTATTCAAATGTAATCTTGTTGTTGTTATTGTTAATTATACAAGGAAATTGTCAGACAGGAGAGGGTTGGAGGCTTTACATTCCATGCATTTGTTTTCCCATCACAGTGGTAGGTAAACTGGAAATGGTACAAAACAAACCAGGTAAATGCACGATATTAAGACGAAATTTAAGAGGAATTGATTATTTTGATCCAGGTTGTTGGAAGATACAAAAATGGTATAGGTAGAATGACATTTAATGCATCACAGATTTTAAGCAGACACTAAGGTAGTTGTCTTACTTTTTTAAAAAAAATTCCCAAACGAACTATTCACCGACCCTCAAAAAAACGGGTACGTTTTAAAAACAGCAGTGTCACAGATACAGGTGTCAAATACCAATATCATGCAGAAAATGTATTTTGCGTTTAAGCAACCAGTCTCTCAGAATGTAGGACAAATGGTGACAAGTTTGCAAAGAATGCTTCAAAGAAGATAAGTAAAGTGGTAGGACAGGACAGTTAAAAACTCACGAGACTACTCAAGTCATTATTTTAAACCCACAGAGATACTGCAACGTGAGAGCTGCCAAGTGGGAACAATGGGAGCAGAGAGTTCATGAAGTTTGGCATATGTATAAAAGCTGTGTACCATATCACATCAATAAACACGCCTGCTTCACACACACACACACACGTTGAGACAAACAAACAAACCAAAAGGACTAGAATAATGTCAAGCACTTTACAATCATTTAAAACACACTACTTACCACTTCTCCCAGCTACACCATCCAAACACTTACTAGTTCCAAACTCCGCCATCTACATACTCACCACACCAACTCCAAATACCTCACTCCATTCCTCAACTGGCTCAACTGGATTCCAGCAAATCAATTTCAAAGTCTTCATTCTCACATATAAATCCCTCAATGACCGAGCACCTCCTCATCTCTCATCTCCAAACTCACTCCCCTGCTCGGTTAACTCAGGCTTGTTGCTCATCCCCTCCCTCTCCACGGCACCACCAGTAGCCAATCTTTCAGATTCCACATCCCTAACCTGGAACTTCTTCCATCTCCATTTGTTATTAAATCCCACCTTAAATCCTACCTTCTCGTAAACTTGTTGAAATATTTTCATGAAATCTGGATATGCTCAGCCGAAGCTCAGGGAGATGGATTATACCCTTTAAATGTCTCATCCAAAGAATGGCACCTTTGACAATACAATGTTTTCCCTGGTACTGCACTTGAGATTCAGACTAGAAGATAATAATAATAATCCTTGCATTTGATATAGCGCTTTTCACGTCGGGAGGACGTCCCAAAGCACTTCACAGAACATACTGTAAAGTGAGTTGACTCTATATTTGTGGGCGAACGCAGCAGTCCCACAAACAGTCGTAGATTGAAAATGACCAATTTATTATTGTTTTTGGTTTTTGGAGGGATTATTATTAGGTGTGTGGAGTAAGGAAACTTGCCCAAGGTTTCGCCCTGACCTGCCTGGAATTGAACTCAGGTCTCTCACTTGCAAAGCGAGTGCTCTAACCACTGAGCTACAGGACTCCACATAATCTAGTCTATTCCCAAACCCACAATCTTCTGACCCAGTTTATTAAAGAAACATTTTCATCACTTCGCTGACTGACATTGTCAAATCTTAACATAAAAAGGTTAGAACCTTTTGTGGTTCGTAAAGACACAATGCAGGGTAGTGCATCAGTTTACACCTGATAGGACAATGAATCAAGTGTCAGCACAGCCACATTTGAACATGTTCCAGTTAATTAAATCTCAGGTTCAGTTAAGTCCACACTGTACACATGGTATAGCTATTGCCATTTCAAGCAGATTGCTCTGTGTGCATTGCTAATGTCATTACTTGCACACTGTGTATGAAGCAATGGAAACTTCATCGCAGGGAAGCAGGATCACTGGCTATTTTTTCCCCCATGGACTTGATAATGTTGTGTCCAATTTTTGGATCCATGATCCCAGATTCAACATTATCCAGGGAAATATTATCAGGATCGTTCTCTTTGTCAAGAAAGTCATCACGAGTAGTGGAGGAGCTCAATCAAAAAAGTAGCTTCCCCTTACTAATCAGGGAAATCTATCAATACTGCAATGAAGATAGAAATTCAAGAAGTTTCAGGAATACAACACTGGAATTTGATGCATCATTCTTGCTTCACCTGCTAGTTAGGCGTCAGTCTGGCTCAGTAGATAGCACTCTCCTTTCAGACAGAAGGTTGTGGATTCATGTCCTACATCAGAACACACACACATACACACACTCTCTCTTTCATATTTAATCCCTCCACAGTCTTGCCCTACCTTACCTCTGGCCCTCAACACCAACCCAGCCGCTACCTCTATTTAGTGGGCACTGGCTGCTCATATCACATGCACCACCATCAGCAGTTAGGCTTTCAGCACATCTGCCCCCTTTCTGTGGACTTGCAACTCGCCCCTTCGCTTACCTCCCGCAAGACCACTCTTTGACCTACTTTCGACCATCTTCCCCATCCCTCCTCACCAGCTCAGGTACAAATCCTGCAAAGTTCAGCACCTTGGAACATCCTCCCAACATGAGAGGCACTATGTAAATTTGGGTTGTAGGCTGGACAAGGTAAAAAAAAACATTTTAATGAATTGCCTTTGAAGCCTTCAGAACACAAACACAATCAACCACCAGTCATGTTCTTCATAAAATCGTTGCATTTGATATAGTGCTTTACCACCTCATCAAGACATCTTAACGCACCTTACAGGATATACTGTAAACAACAACAACAACAACAACAAGATTCCATTTATAGAGCACCTTTCACGTCAGGAGGACGTCCCAAGGCGCTGCACAGTTGGGTCATGACCCGAGCAGGGGGAAATGGTCAGGGTGAGGGGAGGGAAGGGAGGGAGAGAGGAGGGGGGAAATGGTCAGGGTGAGGGGAGGGAAGGGAGGAAGCGAGGAGGAGGAAGAGAGTCGAGAGGGGAGCTGAAGGCACGGTATGGGTGTACTTTGTGAGCGAATGCCGGAGTCAATTTGCACACAGCAATTTCCCACAAACAGTCACAAACTCCCTGAAAACAAAGGGTGCCATGTCACCATGTACTGCTCTACACACACACACACACACAGTGGGACTTGAAGCCAAATGGAGCACACAACAAGGTCACATCAAATCAGACACACTGAGCAGAAAATTTACAAGACAGGAAAAACATTAGATGCCATTTTGCCAGCCAGATATTATTTTGAAGAAAACTTTGCCAGGTTGCAACTTTATGCATCAGTGCAGCAGGAGATCAGGAGTAAGGAATCCAAGCTGTTTGGTTCCCCCTCCCTAGCCCAGGGTGCTGAAACAGCCATTTACTACTAACTGTACACAAACAGTGAGGTCACAGAGTTTAAGACACTTAAAAAAAACATACACACTAGGTTTCTAAAGTGGAAGAGAGAGACTTGGAGTTATGTTACCATGGACCCAACCCTGGGCTTTTGATTCAAAGAATAAAGTGAGCAAAGATCCAAGTGGATTCAACTACTTAAAACTGGATCAAACTTGCAGTTCTACAGCATTCCAGAAAATTCCATGAAACCTGCACTCCATCCATCGACCAGGAAGCTTTAAGGGGCGATCGAGAGACTCTCCAAAGCTCTTTGCACACAATGTGGTCCTTGTGACTCAGGACCAGGCACCTGATTATCTTTTAGCCCCAAATCAAGTTTGCATCATTGGAGAGACAATCTGGGGATCAGCTCAGAGTCTCCAATTCACTTTGCTAATCCACATGTTTAAAGGACAGGGACTCACAAAGCGACTTGTGAACAAAGTTAAGTCAGTCTTCATTTCAGCACTTTGCTGTGATTCAGGTAATCTGAACAGGAGAGGCTGCAGGAGAGGCTGTGGTTAGGTTCACCTTTTACTGCAATGATTTGCTTCTTCCTTAACCACACAAACAGGTTCCCCATCATTTCCAACACAGAAACTTGGCCACAAACTCATTCATTCCTGAACCACAGGGAGAGAGAGAGAAAAAAAACACAGACTCCGATTGGGGCAATTTCAATCAAAAGTAGCTCTGCAGATACCAAATCCCACTTCTACTCCACGTCCGGATGAAATGACTTGTGGGTTTGGGATTTATTCACTTACACATGGATTAAAAACAAGTCCCAGCCAGAGCCAGAGCCCATGTCAACCAAACAGGTTGAGGGAATCAGATTTCTCCCCAAAGCCCACGACACATACAGTGGGGAAGGATGGAGGCAGTCAGAACTCTTTAAAATCCAATAAAACTTTAAAAGGGTATATGGTTCAAAACTGTTAACAACTTCCCCCAATGATACTGAAATACAATACCCCCCACAACAACCTATTCATCTCAGTGGGGTGGTGGGGGCTCTGCTTTCTCCCACTCACCTGTCCACCACCAAAGGAGATTTGAGATACTCTGCTACAGAGTGAGCAACAGGTGCAGTGTTTACAGTTACATTAGATGTTACTGAAAGAGTGGGATTTAAAGTGCAAGTTTGCTCACCTGGAGGGGCTTCAAATAGGTCCTCACAGCGATGGAGAAAGTCTCAGAAGTCAGTGATTGAGAAACTTCTCTCTCTCTCTCTCTCTCTCTTCTCCTCCTCACCTACACAGACACCTGTCCCTGACCCTCCCCCAACACCCAGTAATCCGGGAAAGGGGATCGCCTTCGCTGTGGGAACTTGTGATAAAAGTTGCAGAGATCCGAAAACGTCAGAGCCCACGATTGGCTGCGCNTTTTTTTTGATCATCAATATTAAAATCAATCCCCTCCCTCAGTGTTTGCACAGCTCTCAGTCGGTGCACTTAGCCTCATGTTTGACGGTTGTTATGAGAATCAATATGCACACAGTGAGGCTGTGAGCGGTTACTGGGACCTCCTTCGGTCAACAACCAGTATTTCCAGAAGTGGCTGATATTGCAATCACTCCCTGGTTCAGTCACACACCCACACACACACACACACACCAACCTCTTGCCTGATCTTCTTATACCAGGGCTTATTTTAAGGAATTGTGACAGGTGGGGACTGAACTCAAAGGGCTGCACATTTAATCCCCACATCCAGATACATTAAAAGAGATTTCTGCAGATCAAGCAATGCTTCGGGTATTTCTTTCAAACCTTAGAATGCTTAAAATGTTGCCTAAAGGCACTGGGTGACTGCCTGGAGAATGCCAACGAAATCACAATTTATTATTATTGTCATGCAAGGGCAATTTACTAGTGGGAACTTTTGAAATTCCCGCTGTGGAATTCCTAGGGGCTGGTGGGGATTTTCACCCCTTAGTTTACATGATATAAAAAAAAATGTCCTGCCTTATACCCCATTATTACCACGAAACGAAAAGGAAAGTTTAGGAAAAAAATATCTTTTGCACAGGCGGGAGGTTGTTAGGTCGTGGAAATGTCTCACCTCAAATCGATGTTTCACTAACAACAATAACAAATTGCATTTATATTGCATCTTAAATTGGTCATTTTCAATCCACGACTGTTTGTGGGACACTGCTGTGTGCAATTGGCTGCCGCGTTTTGCCCACTAATATACAGTCAATTCACTTTACAGTGTATTCTGCGAAGCGCTTTGAAACGTCTAGAAGATGTGAAAAGCGCTATATCAAATGCAAGGATTACTATTATTATTATATCTTTTCCATCTGGAGGAAGTCCCAAGGTGCTGGACAGTCAAGAGTTTGCACTTGAGATGCTGGTTTTATTTGGGAGGGGAGGGGTGAGAAGATGACCAAAGGTACGATCGTGAGATGGACCTTGAAGGAGATGAGAGAAGGGCCGAGGCGAAGGAACTCCGGGATGAAGTTCCAGAGAGCGGGAACAGAAAGGCTGAAGGCACTGCAAAGTAATATCATTTAAAAAAAAGAATTAGACAGGTATTTGAGGGAAAATACAATTGAAGGTATGCGTAAGGATCAAAGAAATGGGTTTACAGTACCTAGTTCCAGTGATGGATGCTGGCACGAGCACAGAGGATAGGCCCAATGATCTCCTATGTTGTAAACATTCCATGATTCTCCATACAGCAACAATATTACATTTGTATAGCAACTTTCACATCAGGACAGCGTCCCAAGGCGCTGGACAATCAGTGTTTTGGACCCGAGCTGGGGGTCAACAAACACCTATCAAGAATTTGTAGTGAAATACTGTTGTCTGTTGTGCAATTTCTAGCAGACTACAAAAGGCCACAGTTTTTTCTCCAGAACAAGTGCTTCGTACTTTGTATTTAAAGAGGGAGAGAAAAAGTTCTTCAATCTATTTGCAGCTCTGCAGTGTAGCAACCGATTTGATCAACCTGCTGAGTCACTTCAAAAAGAAACAGCTTTGTAATATTCTAAACTATTGTAGGTGTGAATTTAGTGCTTCACCTTGGAGGCAGATAACACAGAACAAATGAAATTGCCTGATATCCGAGAGTAGTCCATACAGGCCAGCAAGAATAAGGCCTTAGCCGATATGAATGGGCTGAAAACCAGAGATGATGTTTATACTGCGGCCAGCAGCAATGGAGTAAATATTCCTCTTGAGGCAGGTCTCCACGACTTCAGTAGAGCATTTGCCCAGTAAGGTGAATGAGGAATTAGATATATCATTTTATTGCAGAGGATAACCAACAATGTGTGATGGGACTGCAGCATCTAACAACAGCTGAAAATTATATACTACAAATGCAAACTAGTCATCAGAACTCCAACAATCTCACAACTGTATTTTCTTCATATTTCTGAGCATTTGTTTCCCTCTAATCGTCCTTTTCCTGAAAATGAAATCAATCCTCTGTGACATTTTTGGTGGTTCAGTACCTGAGCCAGGCAGATATGCAGAATCCAAGGCACTGTTGATGATGGACCAGCCAGCCTGGCTCATTGGTAGGCAGTCCATACAGGCCAGCAAGACAAACAACAAGATACAACAAGATTGCATTTATAGAGGGCCTTTCACGTCAGGAGGACGTGCCAAGGCGCTGGACAGTTGGATCGGGACCCGAGCAGGGGGGAAATGGTTAGGGTGAGGGGAGGGAAGGGAGGGAGCGAGGAGGGGGTAGAGAGTTGAGAGGGGAGGTGAAGGCACGGTTGAAGAGAAAGGTTTTGAGAACGGCCTTGAAGAAGGAAAGGGAGGAAGCAAGGCGAAGGCACTGGGGGATGGAGTTCCAGAGCCTAGGGGCTGAGAGGCTGAAAGCCCGGCCACCGATGGTAGGGCGGTTAGGGCGGGGGATGTGGAGCAGACCGGAGCCAGAGGAACAGACGGTACAGGCAGGTAAGTAGGGGGATAGTAGGTCAGAGAGGTAGGAGGGAGCAAGGCCGTGAATGGCCTTGTAGGTGAGGATGAGGATCTTGAATTTGATCCTCTGGTGGATGGGGAGCCAATGGAGGCGAGCGAGGGTGGGAATGATGTGGTCGCGAAGCCTGGTGCGGGACAGTACACGAGCTGCAGAGTTCTGAATGATCTGCAGCCTGTGGAGGGAGGTGCCGGAAAGGTTTAGTGGGACTTTGAGGAACAGCCCAGTCATGGGATTCTTCCCACTTGGCACCTGGTAACCATGCAAGGAAAAGCCTCTAACGGATAAAGTAGTTTAGATGGACAAGCAACAGGAAGCTTGCAAGGTCAGCTTGTTAAATTCAGGAGTACTTTACTCCAATGCACACTTTGAGACCCCAAGCCTCGGCTCCCGCCAACCAGGAAGCTCTCATTAAAACTTTGAGCTCATGGTCGAACCTGATTTCTCGGAATGCATTGCTGGGAAAGGGCTACATTGTCGGAGATACCAACCTTCAGATAAACAAGGATTCTCTGTCTGTTTGTTCAGATGGACAGTGAAGATCCCATAGCACCATTTGAAAAGAGAAACAAGTTTCTCCTGGTGTCCTGGCCAATAATCCCCTGGACTAGAAGTTGATCAGTCACTTCATGGCTGTTCATGGGACATTGCTATGTGCATATTTGCTACCACATTAGCCTACAAATACACTATCACTCTACTTTGAGATGTTTGAATGTGATAAGGACTATGTCGAATGTAAGAATCCCTTTCTGGTACCAAGATTTATGGCATAAATCAAGAAATATTCACCAAGAAAATTTATTTTGTTGGCCGACCAAAAAGATTGGCCGCCACTGCTCTTGTGAAAGAGTGCACTTTCTATCCCAGCTAACCAAAGAATATGTGCAGAATTCTTAGTCGTTGTGTTTTAAGACACTGATATGCAATGTTAGCTTTCTATGTCACATACTTGGTTGACCAAAAAGCCATTTTTCCTGAAGGTGCCAATGCATGTGGTTGTCCTGTTTATCACAGGATTGTTGCTTAACAGTGGGAAATAAGTACATTTAGTCAAACAATGGTAACATAGAAAAGCTTTTTCCAGTTCCACCCAACCCATGTCCAAAGTATGTGCCTCTAGCACTGAGCATCACTGGATATCAATCAGCAATCTTGATTGGGAACCTTTGAGACTGGTTGTAACATTTCCCAACAGTGCTCTATGGACAACAGATAACTTAGCACAAGCTACAAATTAAAAATCTGGAATCTGGAACAATACAATTATACAATACAATTATAGCTGTAGATAGGAACGAGGCTCTGGAGGGCCCAAAAATAGAATCCATTTGGTTAGAGATAAGAAATAAGAAAGGAGTGGTTACACTGATAGGGGTTTACTATAGACCACCAGACAGCAGGAAGGAGATAGAGGAGCAGATCTGCAACCAGATCGCGGATAGATGTAAGGCGAACAGAGTTGTGATAATGGGGGATTTCAATTATCCCAATATAGACTGGCAAAATAGCAGCGCTAAGGGCAAGGCAGGAGAAAGATTCATAGACTGTGTACAGGAAAATTTTCTTGAGCAGTATGTCTCCAGTCCTACGAGGAAGGAAGCATTGCTGGATCTAGTTCTGGGGAATATAATAGGTCAGGTTGAGCAGGTTTCGGTAGGGGAGCATCTAGGTAACAGTGATCATAATATTATTAGATTTAAATTACTCATGAACAGGGACAAAATACAGTCAAGGGTGAAAATGCTTGACTGGAAAAGGGCTAATTTTGATGGGCTAAAAAGGGACCCAGAGTTGATGGACTGGCAAGTAAGACTAGCAGGTAAAACGACTCATGAGCAATGGGAGATCTTCAAAGATATGATAGCTCAAGGTCTAAATAGATATATTCCCCCAAAGGGAAATGTGCGACAACCAAGCCACCCTGGATGACCAGGGATATTCTGTCTAGGATGAAAAAGAAGAAGACGGAGTACGACAATTGGAAGATGCAAGATACTGAGGATAGCAAAGCGCATTATAGAGAATGCAGGAGTGATCTTAAAAGAGTGATAAGACAGGATAAAAGATCACATGAGAAGAGGTTAGCGGGTAACATAAAGGGGAATCCTAAAATATTTTACAAGCACATAAAGGAAAAAAGGTTAGTTAAAGGTAGGGTGGGGCCAATCAAAGACAATGATGGCAATCTTGTTGTGGAGGCAGAGGGCATGGCTGATGTACTGAACGAGTACTTTGCATCTGTCTTCACAACGGAAATGGATGCCCCAAATGCCACAGTATTGGATGAGAGGGTAGAGGAAATAGATCAGATTACTATAGACAGAGAGGAAGTTCTGAAAAGATTGACTGGGCTCAAAATTGATAAGTCACCAGGACCAGATGGGTTTCACCCAAAGTTGCTGTGGGAGATACGGGTTCAAATTGCGGAGGCTTTGGCCATTATATTTCAATCTTCACTGGACACAGGAGTGGTGCCAAGAGACTGGAGAGTGGTTGATATTACCCCTCTCTACAAAAAGGGGCAGAAAGACAAACCCGGAAATTACAGGCCAGTCAGCCTAACTTCGTTAACAGGAAAATTACTGGAGACCATAATCTGGGACAGAATAAATCTCTATTTAGAGGAACATGAGGTAATTAGAGACAGCCAACATGGATTTGTTAAAGGCAAATCTTGCCTAAAAAATCTAATAGAATTTTTTGAAGAGGTGACTGCGAGGGTTGATGAGGGAAATGTGGTGGACGTTATTTACATGGATTTCAAAAAGGCTTTTGACACAGTACCGCATAAAAGATTAATACAAAAATTAGAGGCCCACGGTATTAAGGGGACAGTGGCAGTTTGGATTAAGAACTGGCTGAGTGACAGAAAGCAGAGGGTGGTGATTAATGGGTGTTTCTCAAAATGGAAGGAGGTGTGCAGCGGTGTCCCCCAGGGATCAGTATTGGGACCACTGCTCTTTCTAATATATATTAATGATCTGGACTTGGGCATAGAGAGCACTATTTCCAAGTTTGCAGATGATACAAAGTTAGGTAGGGTAGTAAATAGTGAGGAGGACTGTAACCAACTGCAAGCAGACATACACAGAATGGTGGAATGGGCTGACATGTGGCAGATGGATTTCAATGTGGATAAGTGTGAGGTGATACACTTTGGTAGGAAGAATGATAGGAGGCAATATAGACTTGGTAGCTTAATCTTAAGGGGGGTGAACGTACAGAGAGATCTGGGTGTTCAAGTAAATGAATCATTAAAGGTAGCGGGGCAGGTAAATAATAATAATAATAATCCTTGCATTTGATATAGCGCTTTTCACGTCAGGAGGACGTCCCAAAGCGCTTCACAGAATATACTGTAAAGTGAATTGACTGTATATTTGTAGGCGAACGCGGCAGCCAATTGCGCACAGCAATGTCCCACAAACAGTCGTAGATTGAAAATGACCAATTTATTATTGTTTTTTGGAGGGATTATTATTAGGCGTGTGGAGTAAGGAAACTTGCCCAAGGTTTCGCCCTGTGCCTGGAATTGAACCCAGGTGTCTCGCTTGGGCAGTAAAAAAGGCAGTAAGACAGTAAAAAAGGCATTTGGTGTACTGAGCTTTATTAGTAGGGGCATAGAGTATAAGAGTAGGGAGGTTATGGTTAATCTATACAAAACAGTGGTTAGGCCTCAGCTGGAGTACTGCGTCCAGTTCTGGGCACCTTACTTCAGGAAGGACATTAAGGCACTGGAAAGGATGCAGAGGAGATTCACGAGAATGATACCAGGAATGGGGAACCTTAGCTATGAGGACAGGCTGGAGAAGTTAGGACTTTTCCCATTAGAGCAGAGAAGGTTACGCGGGGACCTGATAGAGGTCTTCAAGATCATGAAAGGTTTCGACAGGCGAGATAGGGAAAAGCTGTTCCCGCTGGTAGGTGTGTCTGTGACCCATGGTCACAGTCTTAAGATATCTACCAAAAGAAGCAGAGGGGAGGTTAGAAGAATTTTTTTCACTCAGCGAGTTGTTCGAATTTGGAATGATCTGCCTGAAAGGGCAGTGAAGTCCAATTCGATAACAGCTTTTAAGAGAGAACTGGATAGGTATCTGGGGAAGACGGGTTTGCAGGGTTATGGGGAGAAAGCTGGTGATTGGGGTTAGTGAAAGTGACTTGCTCTGTCAAAGAGCCAACACAGACTCGAAGGGCCGAATGGCCTCTTTCTGTGCCGTAACATTCTATGAATCTATGAATTGTAGTTATGTATAAGAGGGATCGCAAATTAAAAACGTTGGGTGTCAAATTCTTTGAAACAGAAACAATTTGTAAAGTCACTGCCAAGTGTGCAACTGACCCATACAGAATGAGATAGTCACAGGTTCAATCACTAGTCTGTGCTGATATTAACTTACTGAAAATAGAGGGGAACCTGGAGGCTAATGTTAGTGAGGAATTTAAAGAAATGAACATCAGTAAAGCAATAGTACTCGAGAAATTGATAGGATTAAAAACTGATAAATCTCCTGGACCTGATGGCCTGCATCCTAGGGTTTTAAAAGAGATGACTGCAAAGACAGTGGATGCTTTGTTTTTGATCTTCCAAAAATTTCTGGATTTTGGAATGGTTCCCATTGATTGGAAGGTCGCAAACATAACGCTGATATTTAAGAAGGATGGGAGACAAATAATGGGGAACTATAGACCAGTTAGTCTGACATCAGTAGTAAGGAAAATTATTATATTTATTATAAAATTCTAGAGTCCTTAATTAGGGACGTCGTTGTAGGGTACTTAGAAAATCATGACATGATTAGGCAGAGTCAGCATGGCTTTACGAAAGGGAAATCATGCTTAACAAATCTTATAGAATTTTTTGAGGATGTAACTAGCAGGTTAGATGGGGGGAACCAATAGATGTGGTGTATTTGGATTTCCAGAAGGCACTCGACAGGGTGCCACATAAAAGGCTGTTGCATAAGATTAGAGCCCATGGAATTAAAGGTAATATATTAGCATGGATGGGAGAGTGGCTAACAGGAAGAAAACAGAGTAGGGATAAATGGTTCCTTCTCAGATTGGCAGGATGTGACTAGTGGAGTGCCACAAGGATCAGTGCTTGATCAGTACAGTCAAATAGATAGGTTTTAAGGCAAGACTCAGGCAGATAAATAATAATAATCTTTCCATTTGATATAGTGTCTTATCATATCAGAGATATCTATTTACAAAGAGACAAAGGAGCCATTACTGTGTATCTGAAGGCAATGTGCCTGCCAATTTGTACATGTAGAGTGGAGTCCTGTAGCTCAGTGGTTAGAGCGCTCGCCTTGAAAGTGAGACACCTGGGTTCAATTCCTTACTCAAGTTTCCTTACTCCACACGCCTGATAATAATCCCTCCAAAACAAAACAATATTCAATCCACGACTGTTTGTGGGACACTGCTATGCGCAATTGGCTGCTGCGTTTTGCCCACAAATATACGGTCAATTCACTTTACAGTCTATTCTGTGAAGCGCCTTGAGACGTCTAGAAGATGTGAAAAGCGCTATATCAAATGCAAGGATTATTATTATTACATGTCTGACAAACAGGCAGTGCTTGACAAGAGATTCCTGAGGTTTGTAAATAGATTAACAAGTTACTTGAAACTACACATATGTCAGTTTAAAGATAGCTTATGGAAGATCTTTGATTTTGAAGGATATAGTGGGAAAACACTACCTTGTGGAGTCCTGTAGGATATTGGTTAGTGCGTTCACCTCACAAGTGAATTGACCCAGGTTCGATTCCCGGGCAGAGCAAAACCTTAGACAAGTTTCGTTATTCCTCTATTAGTCAATTTGGGGATTACTTTCCAAGAGTAATAAGCCCTCACAAAAAATGTGGTCACTCAATCCACGACTGTTTGTGAAACACTGCTGTGTGCATTTGGCTGCTGCATTTTGCCTACAAAATAGTCAATCCACTTTTCGATATATTGTGAAGCACTTTGAGACGTCTCGACTACATGATAACAAGATTACATTTTTATAGCACCTTTCATGTCGGGAGGACGTCCCAAGGTGCTAGACAGTGTACAGCATTTCAGACCCGTGCTGGGGTCGGGGGGGGGGGGGGGGGGGGGGGGGGAGGGAGGAGTGACTGATGACATGGTTGAAAAGGAGGGTTTTGAGGCGGGACTTGAAGGAGGCTAACCAAATACAATCTTGATATGAACAACTTGTAACTATCTTCCAGGGGTGGGTGGAGGGAATGAGCAAGTGGATTCCCCTTGGGGTGAGCTGGCTCCAAGATGACATGTTTGACAATGTATTGTGGAATCAAATCAACCCTATGTGGTGGTCTTGGTCATCCTGTTCTTGTGTCAAGCAGGTCCATATTCCTCTAAGGCACTGTTGATGACAGAACAGCCAGCTTGGCTTAGGGGAAGGGATTCTTCCCACTTGGCTCCTGTTAACCTCATAGCTGGACAAACAACTAGAAGCTTGCCAGGCTTGTAGAGGAGGAGGGGAGGGGGTAGCGGTAGCAAGGGCAGATATGGCAGAGTGGATCCCCCTTGAATATCAAATGTTCTACTTTTTGTGTAAGTGGTTGTGTTAAAACTGTTGTATTTGCCAAATCAGTGTTCAGCCAAAAGACCCTTTGTGGTGTTATTTCATGTGGGTTTGGCCACATATATATGTGAGAGAGAATAGAGGGATATGGGCAAAGGAGTAGCAGGAGTGAAGGCTTGTGTAGAGCATAAACATTGTCATGGACGAGATGGATCAATTGACTGGTTATTGTGCAATAACATTTTATGCAATTGCATATGCACACACAATAATAAGCTTGCAGAACTACAAAAAAAATGCAACAGAAAGCAGTAAACTGAACTAAAGCTGGAAGGAAACAAGTTAGTCAGGAAAGTCAAATAATGGTCTGGAGTGTGATATTCTTAACTTGGGCATTCCATGATAAACAAATCTTTTAATGCATTGAAATCCTTTCCACCATTTGAACTGAAAGCTGTAAAATGAAAAAACATTCCTGTGATTTAAACTGCAAGGTAGATGTGTGTACATATTGCTTTATTGAGACAAAAATGATATGAAAAAAAGTGATACATTAAAAAATAAATCCCCTCTCTCAAAGTTTCTCCATTTCTCTCCTGAAGGTATTAACTCATGCTGTGGTATGGTTTCATGAGCTCCAGCCACATTCCAGCAAATTTCTTCATTGGTGACACAGACAGTCAGTACTTGCAGGATATTTGATTGTGGGCTAATTAAAATTGAACAAGATAACCTTCACCAGCTGTGCACAAAAGCTAACTTTCCAGAAAGGGGTCATACAACTGTGTTCAGGGTTGGGAACCTGGTCTGATTTGTCCCTCTATAACCCAGGACCACTGAGGGCAATTGTGCAGTCCAGTCACCAAACAGCCTAAGAACAGCCATCTCTGTACAGTTACACACTACCAATGAACTTACCAACGGAATCATTGGAGTAGTCAGGAGTAAGACTAATTATCAATTCACATAAATAAGATGGAAAACAGGCCCAATCCTTTTAATATAAATCTTAAACATTATGGTCTTTGTTACGAGTTGACGTTTCTAAATATTCTTGACTTAAGAACTCATGATTCTTTTTTTAAAAAAAGGGGTTAAATCAAACAATTAAACCAGTGTGACATACTAATTCTTTTACACTAAATATTGACTAAAAAAAATCAGTAATTTATAGCTATTTTACATTTTTAATTAAAGTACCACAGATGCTTCATCTCAGCGATAATGTAGAGCTGAATAGAGAAGCCAGACCACTTGAAGCTGTAGTTAAGGCTCCTGGGAATGTCTATCGAGCTCTGGGCATCTATTTTAAACGGGTTTCCTCTGACAGAGGAACGTGGAAGTCAGTTCTCCTCCTCACTGCTGCTCCATTCATCCTGGAAAGCACGATTCACAGAAGTGCTCACTCCAGACTGCAACACAAGAGAAAAAAGCATACTATATTATTACTCTATATTGGTAAGTTGGTGTCAGCCTGGCTCAGTTGGTACAACTCTCGCCTCTGAGTTCAGAAGGTTGTGGGTTCAAGCCCCACATCAGCTCTTTGAACTCACAATCTAGATTGACACTGCAATATAGTACTAATGGACCGTGCATTATTGGACATGCCATCCTTTGGATCAGAGGTTAAACGAAGGCTCCATCTGCCTGTTGGATGTTAAAGACCCCATAGTAACTAATTGCAAAGAGAAGGGAGTTTCTCCCAATTCCCGGCCACCAGTCCCCCAGATCAATTCACCCCAGTCCTCCCCAGCATCCACTGTGTACCTGTCTAACAGCAGATCGATTCCAAGTTCCTCACTGCCCTAACACTGCCTCCATTTATCTGATTTTTTCCAACCCCACCCTTCTGCTCGCCACTCCACTGACTAACTCAGGCTCACTGCATATTTCCCAAACACCATTGTTGGCCAAGCCTTCAGATCCTACACCCCTAAGCTCTGAAACTCCCTCCTTCTATCCCTACATCTCCCTAATATGTCTTTAAGTCCGACCTAAATCCTACCTCTTCAGACACACCGTTGGCCACTTCTCCCTCCCTTGCTCTGTATCCGACCCTGACCTAGTAATGTACTACTAAATGCTACCCTACATGAAGGGTGCTATATAAATGCAAGTTGTTGTAAACAGCATTTGCTTCACAGCTGTGTGTGGGACGTTGCTGTGTGCAAATTGACTGCCGTGTTTACCTACACAAGTCACTACACTTTACAGTGACTTTGACATGTCCTCCTGATGTGGAAGTTCTGTAACAAATGCAAAGATTTTTTAAATATATAACATGTAATGTAGTTGTATATTCTTTTAGATTGTTATTTTGTTGGCATCCCTATTCTAAAATGAGAATTGTGATATGGAAACTAATTTAGTATTTACAAACCACGGCCCATAAATTCCATGCATGCCATCAGTGAAAGCCAGCGATTTCTCTACAATAAGTAGGAAGAGTTAGAGGGTGCCTATTTCTTTTGAGTTTGCTCCACTACAGCCTATCAGCTAGTTAAAGAACAACACTGATAAAGACACCAAATAGGAGATTGAAAGTCAGAAAAATTGAGCTTTAAAAACAATAAGTAAATGACTGAATATCAACATGAACACTCCCCCGATGGCCTAGTGGATAAAGGCCCTGCCCACCACTTCATCAGATAATACCAACCGGATGGTAGAAATTTTCCCTCAGTATAGTTTTGAGATTTTTTTCTCAGCATTTGAAAGTGCAAACTTTGGATAATTTTTACTTAAATTCAATCTTAATTTTCAAGATTCTTTTCAGAACTTAATTTTCAAGAACTTTTAAGAAAAACAGCTTGAAAAATAAGACTGAATTTAAGAATTTTCCACAATTTGCTCTCTCTCAAATGCTTAGAAAAAACAATGTTAAGTCTAAACTCAGATGAAATTCCCCCCCTGCAGAATAGATTTAAATTTTGGTCTGTGCTTTAATAAGTTAGCTGGTCTCTGTCAGGCAGTAAATACTAATCCTTGCATTTGATATAGCACCTTATGAAGTCTTCAAGACGTCTCAAAACGCTTCACGGAATAAACTTAAGTGAATTGACTGTATATTTTGTGGGCAAAACAAGACAGCCAATTGTGCACAGCAGTGTCCCACAAACAGTCGTTGGGTGTTATAATTCTCCCAAAACATGCACTTGAAGACAGCCAATTGCTGTCAAGCATAATGTTTGTGTATTTATAGGCAAACATGGCAGCATTAACAACTATAATAGTGTTACTGCAATATCGTTAAACAAGATCTTGACAAAGGGCAAACAAATCCAAAGCAAAGTCAATAGTCTATTTCCTTTATCGCTAGCTACAGGTGCAAATGAGTCACTGTAAACGAAAGTGAACTCTGTAAACCCAGGACACAAAAGTGACTTTTACAATTGTTTAAAACAGAGTTATTTTTGAGATCACAAGTAAGGGAACAATGCTAAATTCCACAGCCAGGCCTTCAATAAACAACCATGGATGCCATACCCAAAACGTAAACAGTGCTTTGATGTCACAACATAAATTACATATCACATGATTGGCAAATAAACTACTGATATGACTGAAAGAGAAATATGTTCCAAGTCATACTTGGAAACACAATTTTTTTAAGTTTGAACGTTACAGTGAATATATCAAACCCTACATAGCACAGTACTAAAAATCACATTAAATATTAGTAATTAAGGTCCAATAATCTTATAAGAATTATCCTTTCATTTGGTATAGCACCTTTCACACTGGAAGGACACCCCAAAGTGGAGTAATTGTGTATTTGGAGCCAATTTGCGCACAGCAGTGTCCCACAAACAGCCATGAAGTGAATGACCAATTTTTTGGGGGGAGGTTGTTGGCCAGGACTACAGGCAAAACTTCCTTCTCTTTTCGAATAGTGCCATAAAATCTTTAATATTCCACCTGAACAGGCAGACAGGACCTTGGTTTAATGTCTCATCCAAAGGACAACACCTCCAACAATGCAAGGCCTTATGTGTAAAACTCTTAATAATATAAGCTTTTTTCCCCAACTCTTTCTACTTATGCTGCCACTTTCAAGGACTTATGTACCTGCACTCCCAAATCTCCCTTTGCTCCTCTGCACCTTGCAAGATACTGCCATTCAATATATATTCCCTTCTTTCATTTTTCTACCAAAATAAATCAACTCATATTTTGCTTTATTAAACTTTATCTGCCACTAATTTGCACATTGTGCTAATCTATTTAAATTCGCCTGCAGTCCCTTGTTATCCTCCTCATATTCACTGTGTCTTCTCGTGTGGTATCATCTGCAATGTCTGATACTATACCCCTATATATAAGTCAACATCATTAATACATATGGAAAAAGAGACCTCTGTGGCACACATTCCATGGTCGACAATAAAGACTGGTAAAACACATTACAGTTCTTGTAAAGAGAGGACATAAACTCAGAATTGTTATTGTAAAATTTAAGAGGGAGATTGGAACGCACTCTTTCTTTCAGAGTATTATCAGATTGTGGAATATTTTGTACACGTGGCAGATACCAGATCAACATTTAGGGAATTGGATACGCATTTGAAGCGGGAATGTAAATGAACGTTGAAAAGAGTGGATAATTGGGATTAGATTTGTTAGCTCTATTGGATGAGCTAGCACCATTTTAGGGTTGATGGTTTACATGCCCTTCTCCTAGGCTGCAGTTTCTGTAAGTTGATCAATATTGGTCTGTGATGACAATGCAGTGCATGATTTTCTCCTCTTACCCCTACAGGCTCCTCTTCTTCAACAACAATTCGACCAAGATCTGGGACCCATGATAAAATGTTCACATCACTGCCTCCACTATAGAGTTCCTGGAAAGAGCAAAACAAGAAATTAAAATAATTCCAACTAAGTTAGTGTTTGAATTTCACATTCAATACCCGTTTGAAACTCTTTTTATATGTTGATTTGTTTTTAGGACAACTTTCTTTTTCCCTTCTCTTCTAGCAACAGTGCACAAGGATGTTGGATCTCCAGCAGTCTCAGAGAGAGTAAGAAATCTGTATGTCTTCAGATGACACTCTACAGCTTATATTTATAGAGTACCTTTCAGTAGAATGAATATCTCAAAGCACTTAACACTTGATACCTAGGGAGGAACTGGGAAGAGATGTTAGGGCTATCAACCAAAAATATGGTCAAAAAGAGGGCTTTGAAGGCAAGGAGAGAGAATCGATAAATTTAGTTCAAAAACAATGAATTGGTAATCAGCAAACTGACAATGAAATGCTTTGATCCATGTGAAAACAAGTTCAAATTGCTTGTTAACTGGTTCAATGACCACTGCAAGTGGCTTTTTGGACATGATCAATCAGTCAGGGGGTGGTAAGTATCAGCAGACAGTCATCGATTGGGATTTCTCTAGGAGATTAAGGTCACATTAGTGATAACCACATCACATGCTACATCTTTCACTCATACAATGAAAGCAAAGAAATACAACAGCAAGGAGAACCAGAAAAGTACAGCAGAAAAAAGAGATTTATTAATCCTAAAATACATTAAGAATGAGTATGGAAACAGTTCCATTAACTCTACATTTATCCTGGTGTGTTGATATCCCCATATATATGGAAGAATATCCACAGGAATACTTACCAAACCTGTAAAAAAAAGTTATAATGACCAGATACGTAGGCTAACACAGCAGCCAAATTTGCACACAGCAATGTCCCACAAATAAGCATGACTGATTTTTTTTATGTTGGGAATTGGACACCAGGAAAACTCCCTATCCTTGTCAAATAGCACACAGGATTGTAAATGTCCATCTTAACAGGCAGAGGGAACCTCAGTTAATGTCTCATCCAAGGGACGGCACCTCCAACAATGCAGCACTCTCCCAGCAATGCACTAAGTGTCGGCCTAGACTATGAGCTTAAGGTCTGCGCACGCAGCTTCAACCCACAATCTTCTGAGGGTGCTCCTATCTTAACCGGGCTGATATACTTAGTCTCCTGGATATGCAATATTTCCTTTACTGTTTTAGCGGTTTAGGATTATTGCAAATATTGCAAAAGTATTTGTGTGATCTATCTAAAAAGGTATTAAATCAGAAAGCCATTTCTAAAACAACAGGGAAAGTGGAGGTGAAGTGCTGGGCAACAGAATGTCAAGTCAACCCTCTGTGGCAGTCTCAATAGTTCGATAATCTGCAATACTCCAGGGCATTGCTGACGACAGAACAGCCAGCCTGGCTCATGTTAATAAATAAACCGGACATGAAACGCAGACTACCTGAACAAACTGTGGGAAGCTTGCAAGATAGTGCGCTTAATGGCAAGTTGTGCGTTTTTAGCTGGTTAAACTTCAGCAGTACCTCAATACGCACTCTGTGGTCCTTAAACCTTGGCTCTTGCCAACAACCTCTCCTAAACTCTTTGGAATTCAGTAAGTATCCTTCCAGAGAGAGAATGGGCTTGCCTTCCAGACAGGAAAATGGGCATTGCTTTCTATATGTAGGTGGCATACACATGTGGAACTTTAAGTTTGGTTTTGATTCTCTAAAGCATGGTGATGGGTTTCCGATTGTGTCAGATACCAGGCTAATCAAAAGCAACGACAGAAGTACTCTTTCATCATTAAATCATTCCAAATTTCAGCTCAGCTGTTCTCTGCTAAGACAAACTATATACAGAGAAAGAATAAATGACTTACTTGGAAATCAGATTGGAAGATGCAGCAGTTTACAGAGTTATAATGGCCCCTGAGTTCAGTTAGTAGTTGTCCTGAGTAGATATCATAAACAGATATACAACTACCCACAGGAACAAAGGCAAAATCTGGGCTGCAGCCACTGGACACTGTAAACTGGAGGCTCTTTCGGCTTTCATTCCCCACTTTTCCGTAGTTCACCTGAAATCATCAAATGCCTATAATTACTTGTCAAAGGAATTCCATATCATGTCTTTTCTGAATTTATTTTTTCTAGTTTTTTTTAATTGTCTTGGAGCGATCTGATCCAGTTTGTTAAGTGAGTGATGCTATATTGCCTAAACGTGTGATCAGAATTATTGTTATTAAATAATTATTATTATCATCATCGCAGGTGAGGTTAGCTAACTCAGCACAGTTGAGAGATCAACATGGAACACTCCAGCTCTGAAACCCATGATTCAGTGCCATTATCTACTGAGTGGTCAGTGCAATACAGGAATGTCAGTCGTAGGAGTAAGTGATGTACTGGTGTTCTTATTAAAAATAAGTGGAGAAAATGGAGGATAAAAAGTGGAAAATAATAGAAAATTATAATTCAGGAATTGGAATAGTACTGACATTGAATTTTGGGAAAGTCTGCTCACTCATCAGATGGATGCCGGAGCAGTTGAACAAAACTGGGAAAAATGTAAATGTTTTGCTTCTTTAATTTAATGTGGATCCCAGAAGGATTAATTAGCTACAGAACAACTAACTGGAGGCTAGGCAAATTAGTTGATCAAACAGATCAAACATGACAAATGCTCACACATTTTTCTAATAACGCAGATTATTTTTTCATTTTCACATTTTAGACTGTAATTCAAGCCACATGGGTGAGTTGCCACCAAGCTTTCAAATACATTGGGTGGGTTTTGGTAAAACAATCTCTGAAGATAGCTGCCAAATAAGAGCATACACTGGTTCATTGTCTCCAGGGACTGGATTGGAAAAGTAACAAGAAAGCAACAATTAGTGTGAGACAATCACTTGAAAGTGGTCTAACTTATGCCATTACAACTGAGGTTAGAATAATGCCTGCAATAGCCCCGTCACATAGTTTAATGGCAAAATCGTGTTCACCTGCTCCTTACTTTATAGCGTTTACGTTACTAGGTAAATATAGCTGCAGTGCAGCCCCTTAGAAATGAACTTCAGTATTCGCTGATAATCCAGTTGCATTGTGGTCCCCATTCTATGTGTATGTGTGCAGCCAGCTCACTTTCTTCTATGTGCCAACCATCCTTTTGCTTTAAAACGACTGACTTCCGGATCATTAGGTTGCCGCTGATAGCACTTTCTGCTTCCTGAGCATGTGCAGAAAACAGAGAGTGATGTTGGCAGTGACTCATTGGCCACTTTTCTTTTAGAATGGGAGATGGTTAGCTGTCAGTATACACAGCCAAACCTGCTATTACACCTCGCTATAATCTGGCTGAGATTTTATGGAACCCAAACACTGTTATAATGAGGCTGCACTATATTAACCCAACTGTTTATTAAACAATTTAAACACCTCAACTATAACAATTTCTATGAGAACATTGCTTGCTATGCTTGCTCCTTGCCAAAAACAATTAGTTAAATGTTCAGTTACAAAAGCAGATAATACCAGCGTATTGACTCCTGTGGAACTATTCCAGAGTCTCATGCGATCATCTGTGCCAATAGTTAAAAGGTGCAGCCCATCACTGGTAAAGCAGAGTCCATTAACACGGCCATAATGGGCAGTATTTCCTGTCAATAAATAAATAAATATTAATTAATATTTCCCGAATCACTGTGGATAGAAGCTATGGTATTCCCTGTAACAGCTAGTATAATAAATCCTTTATGTTACAATACATGTGTCATCTTTTATGCTACAAAAACGGAATAAACATTATCAAAAAATACAAGATCAAGATATTTGTTCACTTTCAAGGCAAAGTTTCCCACAAACAGTCATGGATTGAGTGACCATTTTTTTTAAAAAAGGAATTATCACCCCAGGAAAAGTGATCCGCCGATCGACCAACAACCAGGTTCCTACTTACTGCTAGGTAAACAGAGGCGTGATGGAGTTAGGAAACTTGCCCACGTTTCTCCTTCCCGGGAATCAAACCCAGGTCTCTCGCTTATGAGGCGAGCGCTCTAACCACTGAGCTATAGGACTCCACTGACATCTTGCATCGCAGAGCCCTCCCACCCTATCCTGTGGCTGGTGTGGACGCTCAGCGGAGGTTGAGCACACATATGTTCAGATACATCGCAGAGGCTTCTGCTCTATTGGAGGGCCATGCTATAATAAACGTATACTTAATTTAAACAAATTTTAACAAATAAGCTGACAGCTCTGGGACCATGGCTGTTCGTCACACTAACAGTTGCTCGCTATGTGCGTGTTGATGTATATATACATGCTCACAATGCTCCCTGGACCTTTGCCCAACTTGTCATATCTGATAACTTGTTACTTCACTTTCACTTCAGAAGGAAGTCTCTTCACAAAAGTCACTATAAAGTGTGGTGACTGTGTACTTTGAGGATGAATGCAAGAATGCAGGTCACCCAGCACTAGTGTGGACCGTCAGCCTAGACAATGTGAGTTCAAAGTCCTGACATGATACTTGAACCTACAAATATCTGACAGAAGCAGGAGTGCTACCAACTGAGCCAGGCTGACACACAAAGAAAGTAAGAATAATTCATCCGAGGCGCTTTTTGTGTGAGAATTAATAGCCAGTACTAATGGATCACAAACAGAGGCTTATGTCAATAGCCTGTCATGTGACACAGACAGCAAAACAACAACAAGATTGCATTTATAGAGCGCCTTTCACATCGGGAGGACGTCCCAAGGCGCTGGACAGTTGGGTCGGGACCCGAGCAAGAGGGGAAATGGTCAGGGTGAGGGGAGGGAAGGGAGGGAGCGAGGAGGGGGAAGAGAGTTGAGGGGGGAGGTGAATGCATGGTTGAAGAGAAAAAGACATGAGAAAATAAATAAAATACCTGACAAGCAAAAATAAAGGGGTGGTTATTACCTGCCTCTGAAGAAGACTTGGCAGTTTCACCATTGTGCTGATCAAGTACAATTACACTTCCCGCAGCTTGACGTACGTCCCAGAATCTAACTTTACTGTCAGCACTAAGAAACATTTGATAGAAAAACATATTTGAGAAATAATAATAATAATAATCCTTGCATTTGATATAGCGCTTTTCACGTTGGGAGGACGTCCCAAAGCGCTTCACAGAACACACTGTAAAGTGAATTGACTGTATATATTTGTGGGCGAACGCGGCAGCCAATTGCGCACAGCAATGTCCCACAAACAGTCGTGGATTGAAAAAGACCAATTTATTATTGTTTTTGGTTTTGGAGGGATTATTATTAGGCTCTGTGTGGAGTAAGGAAACTTGCCCAAGGTTTCGCCCTGCCTGGAATTGAACTCAGGTCTCTCGCTTGCAAAGCGAGTGCTCTAACCACTGAGCTACAGGACTCCACAGACGGAAGCGATTACTTTTCCCAACTCTTGAAAGTTGGATCCTTTTTTCCCCTTCCACTGGGTACAGTTAGCCTTGACAGTGAGGGTTGACAGGCTATTCAACCTTTGTCACATCATGGCCAAGCCGATTCTTTTGAGCTGATTCCGTCCTAAACCCAGATCAATATCTGTCCACTTTCCAGCAAGGGCACTGGAGTGTGATCAGGATAGGGATATAGCTAACATAGTCAAATTATTTGTGATAAATAGTAGAAATGTGTAGTTTTACTGTTTAAAAAAAAACTTTCACGAATGCCTTATGGGGTTACTTCTCCTACCAAAACTACCTGTGCAAGAATGGAACTGCCCAGGGTAAAGTTATTGTTACTTGTTCATGAAGAGATTTAATAAGTCAATGGCACTGAATAATAATCTTTGCATTTGATATAGTGCCTTATCACGTATCCTCGAGATGTCTCAAAGCGCTTCACAGAATATACTGTAAAATGAATTGACTGTATATTTTGTGGACAAAACGAGGCAGCGAATTACGCACAGCAGTGTCCCACAAACAGTCATTGATTGAGTGACTAATTTTTTTTTAAGGAATTATTCCCCCCCCCAGAAAAGCAATCTGCCAATCGACTGACAACCGGGTTCCTATTTTCCTACTTACTGCTAGGTAAGCAGAGGCTGTGGAGTAGGGAAACTTGCCCAAGTTTTGCCCTGCCAAGAATCAAACTCAGGTCTCTCCCTTGCGAGGCAAATGCTCTAACCACTGAGCTATAGGACTCCATGTCGAGACAAATTTTTTTTTTCAGGGTGAGGTGATGGCAGTTTAGAGGGAAAGAACGCACTGCATTCATGGGAGGAATATTTGCAGGAAAGCCCAATTTTATACAACATAAAGGCACATGTCGCCTAGTTTTAAAAGTGTCCAATTACTTAATTAATAGTGACCTTATAAGTCACTTTACCAAACCTGTATTTCTACCTTAAAACATGCATTTTTTTTAAAATCAATTACCTTGCTGTTACTAAGATATGTTCATGACGTGGTGACCATTTCACTGATAACACCTCACCTTTATGACCTAAAAAGGAGGAAATATCCGTATTAGGAAGTACAAAGAATGTAAATGATTATAAAATACAAAAATAAATTACTACAAGGGGCTGACAAAATCTTTGTTTTTCATCAATGTGTGAGCCTGATCTGGCTCAGTTGGCAACATTCTCAAGTTTGAGTTAGAAGCTTGTTCAAGTGGTCATTCACTTCATGGCTGTTTGAAGGACATTGCTATGTGCAAATTGGCTGCCCTTTTTGCCTACAATTACAGTCAATACACTTTATAGTAAGTGCTTAGTGATGTTTTGATGTTGTGATAAGGCACTATTCTATTATTTATTATTATAGTCTTAAGCAGAATATATCATGAGCAATAGAAATATACATTCTGCGTGGCATTCAACTATGATTTTTTTTAAATAGGAGTTCCCACCTCCCCTTACACCCAGATTTGGACTTTTCCTACATTGAAAGTCAATACAATATTTACTTTACAAAATAAAGTTTAGCATTTGTAGATCAGGTTTAACATAACATAATGTAAACCTGTAAAGCTTTATAGTGAAAAAAATGCTTAAAGAAAGGATAGCACTTCAACTTTTCTCGTACTATTCCAGCAGCAGATTCCCCAAATCAAAAAGATTTCCTAAAAGCTGCAAAAAGGGCACATAATTCAAAGATTTTACACAAATTACTTTTAGTCATGAACTTTTTTTAAAAAAATTGGCCTTGGCATCTCTTGCATCTGGGCTGTCTTTGCTTTTCCCGAGTGTATACTGTACTTACAATAACTCTTTTGATACGGTGCGCACCGAAGCTTCTCATTATCACAGTGGTTGTGTTGTTTAATGAAATAACTTGAAGAAATTACATTTTTATAAAGCCTATCAATTCAAATATTTCAAAACACGTCACCTGCAACCATGGCACTAATGACCAAATAACTGGAAGGATTTTTGATACATCAAATTTTTTCAGATTAATTTGTGAAATTATCATCTGAAAGAAAATGTCTCCAACAATGCAGCGCTCCTCCCCTACTACCCTTGAGAGTCAGCCAAGGCTATGAGCTCAAGTCCTGATGAGCGATACAAACCCAAAGCCTGAGAATACTACCAACTGAGCCAAGCTGATACAATATAATTGATTTGTATAAAGAGAATTAATTTTAAATCATTTTCATTTGAGTATTGTCGGGGCTTCTAGAGAGAGCTTACCCTGTAAAATGTGGGTGAAGGATCCAGACTTAAGATCACAAAGCTGCACTTTGGGATTCTTGGTACCAACTGAAACAAAGAGATCTGTTTACAAAGGAATCATCACATTTTAACAATTGCTGCATAAAGTATTAAAAATGAGAAACACTAAATAACAGCTAGAAATGTTTGCATATTAATCAATCAACACAGCAATTTTATTTCTACATCTCAAATACTACAACATGCATTTTATCATAATTCTTCAAAATAGCACTGTAGAAAATTAATGTTGTACCATCAACATGGATGAGAACACTTAATGTTCCCTTGTGGAACGTGGCTTAAATAACCCATGCAATGTTATGGCTTTGCAGATGGTAACAGCCTTCTATTGTTTGGTTCAACCAGCCATTCTTTGTGCATTAACAGCAGTCAGTCAGTGAGCTATTCAACCAACAGAATCAGAAGCAGGAACCTTGAATGATTTTACTGTTCCATACCCAAGGGACCTTCATACCTTCATAGCCTACAATTCAATTCCACATTTACCATTATAAGTTCACAATTGGTCATACGAACATCATTACCCATACTTGATAATAATTTAGGATATAATACGTCAAAATGGTAACCTCAGATTTCAAAAGGTTAAAACTGCAGCAGAACAATGAGTGTTTGAGTTAAAAAAGATAAATCTTCTACTAGAATTTTTTTTGATAAATATTTAACATTACACATTTGGCAGTTCCAGCATACAAAGCTGTAAGTTGTTATACGAACCAGCTATTAGACAATGCTTGGTTGCAATTGGTGACATATGATGACAGTAGACGGTTCCTTCAAACGTGAACACTTCAGCAGGCTATGTAATAAAATAAAATTACCAGTGTGAAACAAGCATTTGGTGAACTCCTTTCAGCAAATGTTATGTTATGTTAGCACGGAATCCCATACACATCACATCAGCTCACTAAATCTTGATTTTGATCCAAGATCACTTCAGTCATCCTCCTCAAACTTGCCCCTCCAGCTTGACCTCCCCACTCAGTCTCACTAAAGCACTTTGAGATGTTCTCCAAATATGAAAGACTATACAAATGTGAACTGTTGTTACTGTTGATCTTGAAAAAATCAACGTAACGTACTTTAATTTGTCTGCAGAAAATATGGTTTACATACTCCAGCAGTGACGTAAAATTATTTTTAAAAATTACATTTGATATAGTGCCTTTCAATTGTTGAAACATCTCAAAGCACTTCACAGCATCTGCTGTAAAGTGTAATGACTATTTTGGAAGCAAATGTAGCAAAAGCAGTCTCTCACAAACAGCCATGAAATGAATGACCAGACTTATTTGGGGGATTGATGGCCAGAGAAACGCCCGTCTCTTTTTGCCATGGGATCTCCAACATCCACCTGAATTGGCAGATGGGACCTCAGTTTATATCTCATTGCAGGACAGCACCTCCAACAATGCAGCACACCCCCAGCACTGCATTGGAGTGTCAGCTATGTGAATTCAAATTCCCAATGTGGAGCTTAAACCCACAACCTTGACCTTTTCTGGCAAATTACTGGATCTCAGTGCTACTAAATTTGGGAGATGATTAAAAAATAAAAAGCTGAACTTTGTATTGTTTACCACAGAAAACTTTCAGCTTTAAAAAATTAAGTGATCCTGTCCAACATTGAGTAATTGTTTGCATTTCCACCACATAAGAATCATATATTTTCTACATAAACACTAAACTTACCAAAAGGCTATTTGTATCCCAGATTTTTAGTGTTTTATCAAATGAGCTTGAAGTAAACATGCCAGTGTCACAGGGGTACCACTGAACAGTCTCCACACTGAATTTGTGTGAGTGCTGATGAGACCTTTTGAAGAAAAGATATCATTTTTAGTAACTAGCTAGATTTTGAATTAGGCATTACTTGGTGTCTTAATAAATTAATCAAATGGATTCCTACCTGCCCACTGTACAGATTGCCTTACAGGTATACTGCGGCTTCCTACTGATGTTCTCCAGGTCATAGATTACAATGACACCATCTGACCCACCAGAAAGCATGCTAAAGGAAGAATTAATAAGGTTTAGTGCAATACACAAAGTAAAACTGGAGCAAAAAAGTAGAACTTGCACTATAAAGCTTCAAATAAATTATAGTGTTTCCATTAAAAGGACAAAATAAGATTACTTTGCCCATCTTAAATTGAAGTTCATTTTCTAGACCTGGATTTTGTATAAAGGTTCATCTGCACCTTGGCACAGCACTAAAGCAGCTTGATATAATTCATGGCTTTGTGGCCACATTAAGAACTTAATTTCCTCCTTTCTTAAACCCCCCCCCCCCAAAATCAATTCAAACATTTAAGAGTTCTTGCTTTTCTAAGATTACAAAATGAGCTGTTAAGTCTATTTACCTTTCATTGAGAAAATTGTGTATAGCGGACTGTGAACATTTTGTAGAAATATATGATTGAACATTTTAACAATAAAGAAATCTGAGCAATGCTTTGGAATTATAACCAGAAAATGCCTGCGTTGCTAATATTTTTATGTATAATTGTCTACCATTGTTATTTCAGAGCAACGTGGAGTCTTCCTCCTGGTTATTCTGTTTTATATTCCCTCACAATCCAAATTTACCCCCAAATTTAAATGATGTGGCTGCTCTCTTCAGTGCTATTTATGGCACACTGGTGACATGGGTTAGTTGACACTTTTGCCAATAATGTTGATTTTCATTTCCAATCATTTATTTTTGGTAAAGCCTTCAGAAAGTGTATTTTATCGTTAAAAGCACTTATGTAAATATAAATTATTATTTTGTGAAATTTCATAAAAGCTATAATTGTACTCAAATTCTCCTTGCAGCCGCGGTCTTGAATGGTAGCAGCCTAGACTGTTGGAGGTGCCTTCCTTTGGATGAAATGTTAGAAGGGTCTATCTACCTGTTGAACTGGGCATTAAAAATTCTTGATTTGATATAGCACCTTATCACAACATTGAAATGTCTCAAAGTGCTTTACGTTAGCACTTTAGGAATTATTGTAAAATGTAGTTACTGTGCGTTTGTGTGTGAATACAGCAGCCAATTTGTGCACAACAATGTCCCATAAACAGCCAGTAGGTGAATGAGCAATGTTGTCTGGGGTATTGTTGGCCAGGACACCCATCTCTTTTTAAATATTGCATGGGATCTTGTCTTCCTGAACAGTCAATGCTATGATTCAATTGGTGCCCTGGCCAACAATTCTCCAGATAAATTGGAGAATTCATAGCTGTTTGCAGGACACGCTTGTGGCTATTACACTTACGTACAAATACAGTCACCATATTTTCCAACTATTTTCTGTGAAGCACTTGGGAGATGTTTTATTGTTAAAGGAGCTTTGTGAAATGAAAGTTTTTTTTGTTATTTTACTTTAAAAATTATTTTAAAATTAGAAAAGCGCACAAAATAGTCTGCATTTTAAACCTGAATTTCATCTGTCACTGTAGGTTTTGTCAAACAGAGTGTAAACCACACACTGTACTTACTATTTTCCCTCAATAGGGTCGATATCAATAGTGTTAACGCCACTTCCATGGATTCTCTGCACATCCCGATCTTTATTTAACTCCAGATTTAAAACCCTTGATACAAAAGATAGAAGCATATTTATTCTCAGACAAAATTAGCTACTAACATTTTTTCTTAAATTCATAAAAATAGCTTTAGTCTAATAAAAATATTGGTCTAAGGCCAATTTTAATGGTCTTACCAATTCTTCATGAAAGTTTTCAAATTACTCTACCCATAACGCTGGCTAAACAAACTTCCAATATATTTTGCAAAGTACTCTAATAATGTTTCTGAAACTATATGGAGTAGGATAATATTACAGATCTGATTAGGATTCTAGTTTTGAGAATGACAGAGACATATTGATTTCCAATTACATAAACATATGAACCAAAATGCAAACAAAAGATCATGCACACGATACATGATCAATTTCAACATCCTCACCCTCACCTACAAACCCTTCATGCCCTAGTACCCCTCAATCTCTGTGATCTTTCCTACCCCGCTCTTCGGCTTGAACCCCTCTACTTGTGAAACGCGGCTCTGCCATGGCTCCTCCGAGTCACCAACATTGGCTCCTCTGTATCTGCCTTTAAATAACACCTAAAGAACTCTTCTTCCTCTTCCTCATGTCTGATGCCGTCTCTGTGAAACGCTCCTGACTGTTATCCTACACGAAAGGTGTTATATCAATGCAAGTTGTTGCTGTGGTAATCTTGCACTCCTCCAGTTTCCTGAGTACTCCCCCAGAATTCAGCATAATCCCAACAGATTTCCGGGATAAGCCTCCCTCCTTGCTCCCCTCGGTTTCTTGGATACCAGCTCAGTTTCCAGGATTACCACACCTTCCCGTAAGTTTCCGGGATTTTGTTTGGCCATTCGAGTGTCTTGGCACCAGCAGAAAACCATGACTTATGCTCAAGAGTATCCAAGCGGAACGGAGAGTGCCACGCAGCCCACCCTCCACGTGGAAATTCTGGAGATGCTCATTGGGACGCTTCGCCCTCAAAATTAATTCCGGAGAGCAGTGCTGTCATCAGCAGCGCCCTGGAATACTGCGGCCTCGCCCGGCTCGGGAACCAGACCCCCCCCCCCAGAGACCGTCACCGAGGGCTGACTCGATTCCTTAGCCAAACATGTCACCTCGGAGCCAATTCAGCATCAAAGAGACCCCACCCCGGGCCAGGAGGACAGTCATTGGTTGGTCATCTGACATCCAGGTTTCCAGCATGAACCCCCCCCCCCCACTCCTTGCTCTCGCGGTTGCCAGGGTCCGGGCGCGGGTCGCACTCACCTCCTGGTGGACTCGGCTCGTCTCAGTGTCAGCGGCTCATTGAAGCCGCCCTGACGAGCCGACAAGAGACCGAGCATCGCCTGGAGCCCGGGCGTCGGCCTCCCACATCCGCCGCGCCGCACGTCTCTCTCTCTCTCTCTCTCTGCCCCAGAGATTTTAAAAGATGCGCTCCCTCTCCCCCCCTCCCCCGAAAAAAACAATCACACAAAGAGAACAACGTCAAACCCCCGCACCCAAATACATCCTAATAACGGACTGGCTCCCGCCGCGCGCCGTTTACATGACAACGGGACCCGCCGGCGCTAGGCGCCGCCATGTTGGGAGGTGAGGGGTCACCGCCAAGAAGCGCCGCTCGGATTGGCTCCAATGGAGCCGGGAGCACCAATCGGGTGTGCTGTTGCTGGGCGGTGCGGGGGGGGGGAGACGCAGGCGATGGACAGGCTGCGGGCGCTGCTCAGCAGGAGCTTCGGCCTCGTCAAACAGCTGGTGGGAACCGACCACCTGGGCAACAAGTATTACTGCATCCCCCGGCAGGAAGGCTGGGCAGGTGAGCGCACCGTCACCCCGGGCGGGGCGTGTCGTCAGCAGATGAGTGAAGGGCGCAGGGGTCCGCTCACTCACTCAGTCTGTCTGTCTGTCTGTCTGAAGGGTAACCAGTCTGGTTACCACTCACTCAGTCACTCACTCTGTCTGTCTGTCTGAAGGGTAACCAGTCTGGTTACCACTCACTCTGTCTGTCTGTCTGTCTGAAGGGTAACCAGTCTGGTTACCACTCACTCACTCTGTCTGTCTGTCTGAAGGGTAACCAGTCTGGTTACCACTCACTCACTCACTCAGTCCCTGACCTCAGTCAGAAGTTTGTGGGCTCAAGGCCCCACTTGAACTCACTCAACTCATTCAGTCTTAAGTCGCCTTCGCCTCTCCAATTCAGTGTTTTTTTTTAAATTTTAATGTGTTTTGCATTTTTTTTGTACATCCTGTGAAGCTCTTTGAGACGACTCGAAGTCCTGATAAGGCGCTATTATCAAATGCCAGGATTATTATTATTATTGTTATTATTGTTGTTTAAATTTTTTTTTAAATTTTGCTGAGGGCGTGAGGCTTTGCCGGAGGCGCCGTCCTTCGGATGAGATGTTAAACTGAGGTCTTGACTGCTTGTTCAGGTGCCCGTTGGAAAGAGAATGAGAGTTTCTCTCGTTATTCTGACAAACAAATCCCCCGATAAAGTTGGTCATTCACTTCATGGCTGTTTCTGAGGCAATGCTGTGAACAAAATTTACTATTTTCAGCTGTTTCTCCTGACACAATAGGGCTATATATCAAATGCAAGGATTATTATTATTATTGTCATTATACAAGTGGATTATAATGTTTATTGTAACTTTCAGTGTTTGGTCCTATCATGTAAACCCTGATGGTTAGTGATATAAATGTTATAGTGTAGTGTGTAATCCTTAGAAGTCAATGTATGTAGGTTCAAACCTCATATCAGATTGTGTTGGAGTTATATGTTTTAAACAAATTTGTCTCCCCAAATTTCTTGGTAAAAATAAAATTTAAAACTTAGCCACCAAGGCAGTGGAATTTTTACAACATTTCTAATTATAAACCCTTGTCACTCCTAAACTGGTCTAAAATCGATTTCAAAGCTGAAGCGGGGTGGTGGAGAACCAATCATTCAGAATTATTGTTGGTGTTGAGTGAATTAGTGTATACAATGAGAATCAAATGTATGCACTTATTATTCGCTGGTGGGGCTATGACCACCCAATAGTGACAGTAAAAAACAACATACAAAGTGTTTTTTAGGAATGCTCATGGATCATAGGGAAGTAAAGCTGTTGTCTCAGATACTTGGCATAAATTCATGATGTTTTTAATGTAAGATAATGGTTATTTCACCATCATGTACTCCAATCTTAATTTTATTTTACACAACTTGATTTTCACAAAGCACAAAATTGACAGTTCAAATAAATCTGCATATTCAACCAAATGGGTATGTGATTTTGCTCTTAATCTTTTATGTTTGTGTCTACAGACTGATGAAAGTGCATATAACATTGTGGCCTCCTGCTGTTGCTTACCATGATACACAATTTCTGAGCTGTAGGTGGCAGTATTTACTAAAGACTGAAGATTTGGTCCAGGGAGAGGAAAGAGAGACAGACATTGTTTTTGAAGTGTCAATGTGCTATGTATCTCTTGGAAGAAAGCCATTTTTGCCATCTTTATTCAGAGTATTGTAGAGTGGTGTTCCTCCACCAGCAATTAGAAAAGCAGACCCTAAGGGGTACACAGACTCCCAAATAATGTTCGAATGGTCCAAAATCACCGATGTGTTGGGTTTCTTTTCATTTTTTTTTGTCTCCTTTCTTTTATTATTGCGCGCCTCCAGCAATGGTAGTTTATTATTCAGTCATTTACTTGTTCTTTAAATCAGCAGTAAAAATTGTCAGAAAGTGGTTCTTAAAATTGTGTATAAGAATTTCACTCCCATTAATAAAGTGACAAAATGATTAAAAATTCTAACTGTATGGTTATTAAACATTGAGTCTGATACTGAAACTTATTTATACTATGCCTTTTTTTGCATTTCACGAAACATTGAATAGTTTGAGTGCTAGAGAATGTGAAGCTATAGCATTTATTTTCCAGAAGCTAGTAAAAATAATCCTTGCATTTTTTATAACACAGTATCATGTTGAAATGTCTCAAAGCATTTCACAGAGAATTCTGTGAAATAATGGCTGTGTATTTGTAGGCAAATACAGCAGCCAATTTGCACACGGCAACATCCCACAATAGCTGTGAAGTGAATGACCATTTTTGGGGGGGATTGTTGGCCTCGACACTGGGAAAAGCTCTCTTCTCTTTTCGAATGGTGTTAATTATTACCTCCATCTAAGCAGGCAATTGGGACCTCGATTTAAAGAGCAGAACTGAGAGATTAAAGCAAATTGCTTATTTTATGGTACTTCGTAACAATATTTAATGTTTATACCACATAAATTGATGCAAAACTACTAACCATTTAACTCATTAATGTTAAAAGTCTAAAATAATTGGAACATAAATTACACAAGTCCTTCCGTTATTTAATTTTGGAAACTGATTAAACTAAGGTGTGTGTGAAACTATTCAAAAAGAGGAGAGTGTTCTCTCAGTACTTTGGCCAACAAACCTCCAGATTAATTGATCATTCACCTCATAACTGATTGTGGGATCTTAGTTTTCATAAATGGCTGCTGTATTTTTGTACCAAATAGTCACTGTAGTTGACTGTAATTGCTTGTGAAGCTTCTCGGACACTTTTGAAGTGATAAAGTGCTGTAAGAAGCAAGTTTCTTTCCTTAGTGTCTCACATATGGGTTTAAAATGTAAAATATCTGTTTACATGGAATAGTTCACAGCTTATGCTTACAGCTGAAATATGCCGAATCATCATCTTACTAGTAATGCTTGCAGCTTATCAATCATCATTCCACATATCATCACTGGAGGCTTCTCTGTGGGGTTGCACAGGGAACTATTATCTGTAGGGTTATTGATGAAATTGATCACAAGACTTTCATTTTGATATTTAAGCTAGCTCCATGACCAATGAATTCAATCATCATTTTGAACAATATTCAAGGTGAGGGCCCTCCATCCTCAGAACTTTTCCTTAAAATTAATGAAGCAAATTAAATAAAAACAGAAATGTAATTTACTCTTAAGTGTCATACAACCTCGCCAGCAATAAAATGTAAACTATTTTTATCTGTGATGAGTTATTGGGGCAGCATGCTTTTTGTTGGTTATTGTTGATCATGATGACGTATCCTGTTTATTCAGTGTCGGTGGACATAAAACCATGAAATATTTCAATTTTTTAATATATTCAGTTTTGTTATGAGCTCTAAACAATTTCAACCGCTTGGTGTTGTAGGAAAAAGATGCTGGAATGTTTATAAACGCATAAAGGTGCCATACCATAAAGTTGCAGTGTGAAAAATTCATAAAAACGTGACTGGATCGTGATTGAAAGGACCTGGATATACAGTATTTAACACAATGCATCAAGCAGTGTTAATAATCTTAACAATAAGTAAAATCTACTGTGAAGTTGAAAAGTGTGCTGCAGTAAATGCAGTTGCATTTGTATTTTCAGAAGTGAAAAGCTGATATAAGCAAGTTTGAAGCATGGCCGTGATTCATGCAAATTACATCGAAGACTGAATTTTGCTGCTGGATTGAAAGCAGACTTTCCATTCAAATATTTGGTCTGCCTTGAGCTATTTCACACATGAGAATTCTTTCTGTGGTTGCCTTTTGAAAGATTGGAATTAAAGTGGTGTATCCACCAGAAATTATAATTTCTCTACCTCAGGCTCGGATATTTCACATGCCTTTGTTTACACATGTGGATAGCATCCATTTTGTGATGTTTTTTTTCAGTTACTGAGACCAGAGCCTAGTCAGTGCTATTGGGGCAATATATCAGGTGCGGATCCCTGACTCACCAGTGCTTTGGGATGCCCTGACGTGAAAGGTGCTATACAAATGTCTGTTGTTGTTGTTATAACTCAATTTTGTAGAGGAGGGCACACAAAATAAATATCTATCTTGGGGAAAGAAAGTCTGGTGCCATAAAGCATGGTTGGGATGTACTTCTGGGTGCTCAGTAAGGTGCTTCAATCTTATTTTTTGACAACTCGTAATTGTATTTATAGCATTAAGCAAGGAAAAGAATGTTGCCTCCAGCACATCTGGAGAGTGACTGTCTAAACATTCACTTATGTAGGAATGAAATCATTCCATCCAGCCCAGGACTTGTTGTCTGACAGGCAATTGGTCAAAACAACAGAGGTCCTGAAGTCAAGGGTAGAGGTAGAGAGATACAGTTGGGTGTCATCCCCATACATGTGGAAATGAACCCCATGTCTGTGGATGATGTCACCAAGTAGGAGCATATAGAGCACGTGAGGAGAGGACCGAGGATAGAGGCCTGCGGGATACCGGATGTGAATCTGCGGGAATGGAAGGAGAAGCCATTTGATGAGACAAAGTGGTGGTGCTGAGGTAGGTATGATACCAGGATAGGACAAACAATAACAGAATTACATTTGTAGAGCGCCTTTCACATTGCGAGGACGTCCCAAGGCGCAGGACAATCACTGTTTTGGACCCAAGCTGAGGATCAGGGAGGGTGGACGGTGACCGAAGGCACAGTCGAACAGGAGGGGCTTGAGACAGGTCTTGAAGGAGGCAAGGGAGGGGGCGAGGTGGAAGGACTGGGATGGAGTTCCAGAGGGTGGGTGTAGAATGGCTCAAGGCCCGCCCGCCAATGGTGGGCGAGGTGGGGGACGTGAAGCAGGCCAGAGCCCGCTGAGTGGAGGGAACGTACAGGTTGATAGGTGGTTATGTCGCAGAGGTAGGGGAGAGCAAGGCCATGGAGAACTTTGAAAGTTGAACAGTATCCTCTGTGATGGGAAGCCAGTGGAGTCGGGCGAGGATGGGGCTGATAGGGTTGTGGAGTTTGGTGCGGGAAAGGACAAGGGCTGC